TTTTTTTTTTGTTTTTCAACTAAACCAAATGCTCTATCACATGATGAGTAGGAATGTCCACTAACTGTGAACTTATGATCAATGCTTTCCACTGTATAATGTGGACTTGAGACGACATACATACATAAAAGTGCCATTTTAATATTGCGATTTTGACCTCCGCACTGGTCAGAATACATTATTAGATGCTTTGTATGCACATTTTCTTTTATATATTTTAGGAGGCAAGAGCCTATCTCTTGAGGTCCTCTTGAAGCTATAGATTCATCCCATACATACATGAAAACATCATCATTACCTGCATTATGCATGCCTAAGCAATATGTCCACAACTGACGTTTATAATAACAAATGCCAGTTGAGATCACAGGAATTGGAAGAGTTTTCATCAAATCGAAGTTCTATTTGGCATAATATAAAGTGTCTAATTTTAAATTTTCCTATTTTGCTTTTCTAAGATGAAGTTCTTTTGCTATTGTAAGTTCATGTTTCTTTGAGGTTTCATTACTGTCACAAGCATCTATTTTTATTTTAAAACTGTCGCAGCGCTTACATGAATCTGTTATAAGGGCATGAAATGATAGGTTAAAGTTTTCATTAAATATTTTTTGAAATATATATTTTGAAACTGGTTCTTGTATCTTCTTTTTGTATTCGGAATACATTATTGTTAAATTTAAATATGGAGGTAGGTACTGTCTAGTCTGACTTTTATGCCTCGTATAGTGTGAATCATACTTTGGAAATGTGTTAATAAAATCTTTGATTTCAGTTATTTTCACTTCAAGGGTTTTATTTTTCGGAATATGTTTGCCTCTTCTGTCAATGGGAGGTGTATCACCAAGTATTTTATTCTTAAGAACTCGAGTCAACCGTCCATCTGATACTTGAAAGATTTCTTTAAAAAAATATTTACACACACGAATTTCCTTACCATTAACAGGAATATGGTATAACCTGCTAAAGGTTTTAGGCTTCTTAGGCCTGGTATTATCTGTTGTAGTACAGGTACTTGCCTTAGTTACAACAGTTATCAGTGAATATAAATATGAGCTTTGTAGGTAAAAATTTGACAGAGCATAATAGCTAGAAAATAAAAGTCTACGCCTTTCAGGATCAACTTTATCATGGCATTTTCCTGAACAGGGACATTGGTACTCAATGTTTATTTCCTTAGCTGGAATCAGGACACCTTTAGTATTAGTATATTGAACGTTTCTCACCCTTTGAACGTTTCATTTTTCTTACGTTTTTTTACCAAGTATATATAATTATTTTATCTCAGAAATTTTCTGAGATAAAATAATTATATATACAATTTGAGCCTTTATTAACTCAAAATGAAGACTCACGAAAAATTTAGTCCAACGTGACCTTCTCTTATTACATAGACGGAATGAAGTATTATTATTATACTACACGTAGAAACATAAGAGACAAAAGAAAAACAAAAACATCTTAAACAAGTAACTGATACCAGTTATCGCTCTTGTCAAGTACAAAGTCAAGCTTTCCATAAAAATAGAATTTATAATCTGTATTACAGAACAGACTATAAATAAATAGTGCACTATCAACATAGTATGCAGTAAGGCTTCGTAACCTTGAATGCTATGTGTTATTAGATTACTAGCTTACGTGCACAGACATAGATTTTGAATTAGATTATCATGTGTGGAAACTATAATCTAGAAGGTTGAATCCCAACATTGTTCTAGTTGCTTATAGCGAATTAAACCATAGGAAAAAGAGAGAAAGATACGTCTTACCCTTTCTAGAAACCGAAAATAGTAATATTTTAACACACAAACAATTAACTTAGAAGACATCCTATATTTTACCTTTTCCGTAACACGAAAGTTACTTAAAAGAACTATATTGAAGTAGTGCAGTAAATGACCATTTTAGGCAACAGACAGACAATACATTTAAGAAACATACAAATATTTGGCAAAATATATTTGTTGATATTAAAATAACTGCTGCTGTCTTATTAATTTTATTATGGCCTGAGATGTTGAGACATAACGTACCAAGTCGTACCAAGTCACTGAATTTTAAAAACAATTTTCAAAGTTTAAAATACAGCTGTCACACTTACCTAAGTAATTAATTTGTCTGATAACGCGACATGTGTCTGTCTACATTAGTTAATTTTATTCGACCTTCATTGCGCTCGAAGCACGTGGTAAAAGGTTTGACAAGATAACTGTTGAAGTGACGTGCGCGCGCGCACATAAAAATTCACTAGGTCCCGAACTTTAAAAGTGTAACATAGTTGTATTGTGATTAACACGTATCTATCCGTTTCATATATTAGTCAAATAAAAAAGGAGAAAACAGTGAAAACATTTAATATAACTTTTTATAAATTTATTTCCCACACGTCGCTGCACATGATGGAATTATATACAATAAAAATCTATTTAGCTTGGAAAAAAACACAGGCTGAACAGGCATTCCACAGCCACGGGAAGGCTCGCCCATAGCGTCAATTATTAATTTATGCATATAACTAGTTTATAAAATTTGTTACCAAACTATGTGACTGTATATCATTGTTATTCGGGCTGTTCCGCCGACGTGACATAGAAGAGGTTCTTGACGTTTGGCCATCCTCCTCTCGCTCACGTCGGAAGAACAGCCCGAAAAACAATGATATTCTGAACGATGGCAGTGAAAGCCGAAAGCCATACACAATTTATGTGACTGTAATTTTACATCGTAATCAATGATCATGAATGATTTTTTCCGAACTTCACAAGGCAATTCTGTTATAAAATGACACTCAAGGTTTATTGTAAACTAAACGGAAACGGCAAGAACATCATTGCTTCATTTAAATGCAATCAGCTCTCGTAATTATTGCCGAGATTACGGAAAAAAAATGGCACGAGATCTCATCAAGCAGTAATTGGTTGTAACATCGCATGGTATCGCTACTGCTTAGATGGTTCTTTGTCAGTGACAGATCAGGTCATTTTTGGCGTGTGTGTGTGTGTAAGAGGGAGAGATAGAAGGGAGGGGGGGAAGAGATGGATGAATAGACAGAGTGAGAGAGAGTCGATGATGTCAAAGTAACATATATCACAGTACTTAGCATCTACTTATACAACTTTAATACGGATATATTCAAAATTCTTCATTCAAATGAATGAGGTTGGTTATTTTTGGTTATTTTTTCGCTGAAGTGTGGAACGCGTGGACGCTTGCAGGTTCACTGCGTCACACCTTCGTAGTTTTTCGTGCAATATAGAGTATAATAACCTTGTTGGATTATTATTTAACTGTTCTCATTTAAGCACTTCTAACTTTACTATTTTTGATAACTCAAAGTAAAACAAAAAAAAACAGAGATAAGAAGATCAAAACAATATAAATATGTATAAGGGAATCAAAATAGATAATTATTAGATCAACAAAAGAATTTCATACATTTGTAACCTTAAAAATTACTTAAGTACACGGGTAAAAATAAAATAAAACATAATAAAAACGTGAAATATAATATTCTTATTTAACCCGCGACTGTGGCAGGTAATATATTTCCGTTTCGAAGCGTCAAAAAAGTTTTATTTAATGCGAACTACTCGCGTAAACTACAGACAACTACAATTATTTTTTGTTAACTAAATTATTTCGAATCATATCTTTAGTTTACCTACCTAGTGATTACAGTATAACCTAGACTTTTAAACGGTTAGTCTAACCGTAAGTGGATGCCCATATTATATCGTACTAGCTGTGTCAGCGACTTCGTCCGCGAGAATTGTTATTTTGGGCATTTAGATTCGTTTTTGCAAATCTCTTCATCTTTATAAACTTAACTTTGTTACCCACGACGTCGGTCGCCTTCCTCCCCGTCGTTCTTGCAAGTTAATCTTTATTGTCGCGGACACTTTTCAGATCATTTGATTTGAGAGGAATTATTTTTCTACTGTATTATCTTTACACCCAAAATACCCAAAAAATATGAAATTAAATATATAAATTTCATATTTTCTGGGTATTTTGAACCGTTTTTGCAGCGTACGCCTCGGAAACCCCTAATCATACCAATATATAAAGCAGAAGAGCTTGTTTGTTTCTAGTTCCCGTAGTTCCTGATATTAGCGCGTTCAAAGAAACAAACTCCTCAGCTATATATATTAGTATAGATATGTCTAAGATCTCGACAAATAACGAAACGTACAATTTTTCGCTCCGTTGCGCGTCCGCGAATATAGAATTACCGACCCCATTCGATTTTAGCATCTAATACCGGGTAATAGAATCGAATTTATTAAACGAGTCTTTAATTCGATTATCTAATCTCGGAATCAAGTGTATTGTACTGTATTGTCTGCGTACGACCTTAATGCTCATTTACATTATTACTTTCTTTTTATTAAATTTATAGTCTGTGGGAAAATGTATAACTTCATATTGTATGGTAAGTTGTGTTTATTGTTTAGTTTATGTAGACTAAGAAAGTATGTGACTTTTGTTAAAAATTAACAAAAAATACCGATTCTCATGTTAAAGTAGCTAAAAGTTCTGATTTTTAGTAATTTAGGAGCTATTAGCAATATAAATCTGTTATCTTTTTTATGATAGAACAGAACATACAAGGTGTACTTGATACTAGGTGAAGACGGCCGTATAACATCTAAACCAGATGCGCTGTCTGTTTGGCTTCCGTAAACTGAAATCGAAACGTGATTCAACTTCACGGCTTTTTCATCTGTGGACGGTGGTTTTAATATCCAGATTTCCAGACTAAGTCAGGCCGATTTCAGAAAAAATATAAATTTAATAATTTAGTATATGTTTTAGACCCGGTGGGGATCAAGCCGATGGCCCATTGCTTATTATTTATTACTACATTACACCAACGAGTCAATGAAAAATTAATATAAACTAGATTCTCTCCTCAGGTGGTTATAAAAACGGAAACTAACGACTAGTTCTACAGAGGAAGCGACGCCTATAAAATCAAAGTCAAGGTAGCAAGTACTGACCTCAAAGCGCTTCCTTGCTCACGTACATCGACTCCATTTATCGGGTCATCCGCCCGAGTCTGCAATCCGGACATTATTGACCAATCGGCACTTCGCACCCGGCCCTTGACCAATCTCGAGTCCGCTACGTCATGACGTCATCCCGGCGGCCCCCGCGCATTGAATAATCTGAAATGCGATAACGAATTTGAATTTCGAACACGTAAAATATGGCGAAAGGAAGTTTATTAGTGACTCAAGACATCCGTTACGTAACTGTTAATCATATAAGAAGTGGATTAAGCCGGAGGCGTATAGGTACTTACTAAGCAATTATTTCCTAATTTTCTAATCCTTAAAATCTTATACAGGACCTCAATAACTCTATAATTTCTATTTTCACCTTTGTTATGTGACTAATACGCAAATTATAATAATTTCATTAATTACAGTCATCTAAAATTAACAAACTTAAGAATACAACTTATTTAAAAAGTGAAATACCGTTTCCCCCGTGGGGCATGGGGCAAACTCAAATCTGTGTCTTATCCGACCGAAACAATTGATTGTTTACCCGGGATTCGAGGCCACGTTTAACCATTTAGCTACAGAGGCGTTCACATCGCATCTTAGATTGTTTAAATTAGTTTTATTTTACACATTTTCTTTGGCACACTATTTAAACAATTGTAATATAGTACCATAAGATGCATTTTCATTACAAAGAAAATTGTAATAACTAAGCTATAGGAACGATTATCATAAACTGACTACACGGTGCATTATTGTATATATAAATACTAATAAACGGTCGTATTTGGTAATGTCTGAAGTCGCGAGCGCGCCGTGGCATTAGTAATGACATATTGACCAATTCTCTAAAAGGCAATACGCCTATCGACTTGATTTGTGTAACGCGAGACTATTATTTGATTTACAAGGTTGAGTTGTAAGCCGGTTTACTTACCAATTAGACCGATTAAATATTTGTTTAAGAACATCGAATATATTAGCTCGTGGCGACGTTTAAGATTTGCTTACACACACTTAATTTATGGGCAGTCAGAGAATAAGAAGTAGAAGAAGAAGAAATTATTAAATTGTGTAAGGCTTTCACGGCCATCGTTCAGCATATCATTGGTTTCCGGGCTGTTTAGCCGACGTGAGCGAGAAGAGGTTCTCGACGTTTCGCCATCACGAGCGGACGGCATCATCAGGAGATGTTAGCTCCTCGATTGCTCGAAGAATTATGATTCACAATTCTTATGCTGAAGAATTTATTGTTTTGAATACCATAAATCATATACAATTCTTTATTATTTCTATTGCGTTGTGATTATCCTGTAATGTTAAAAGTTTTTATAAATATTTAAATGAAAAAAAAAAAGTTTTTATATAGGTATATGTAAATGAAATTAACTTGTTAATAAGTAAGAAGAATTAATTAATTGTAGTCAATAGTTTAAGAATCAGTCAGAATATAGCTATTATATATATAACAATACAACGCGTTTAAAACCGTTTCATTTAATACGTAATATTAGGCGAATTCTTATCCTGCGGAAACATGACATTAATTATAATAAATACTAGGTAGTAGGTACTCCCCACGTTACAACTCAGTGAAAATAGGAAAATTTTTCGAAAACCGTCTAGCCATTTCGTTCTGCAAGTAACAAACACATGATTACAAAACTTTATTTGCATATTTGCAACCTTCCATTACGCCATATTAGGTCAATTGGGTGCATGTCACGTTTAGAAATAAATATCTATTGATACAATATAAACTAATGAGGCACGGCTTGCTTCGTACTTATTCTATCAATGAAGATGCTCATTTTCTAGGTCAAAGTCTGTGTACTAGACTGTACTTAAAAACAAGTTTGACGAACGACGGGAACCGAACGACAGGTCGCGAGCGACGGGACGCGACCGATGACGTAGCTAACAGTTTGCAAAAAACAATTTTGGTTGCCCAAAATATAACGCATAATATTACGCAGGACGAAGACGCTAACTCAGCTATTTAATAACATTATGATGCCCTAAATGACTATTCCACACGGACGAAGTCGCGGGCACAGCTAGTAAACCATACTCGTAAATAATTCGACACAGTTTTCTCTACTCGAACGGATGATAGAGCACACACAAGTATAAAGGGTTTCTCACACTTGATAGTACATTAATTTACACTCATTTCTTACATGCGCATCGGTAATTGCGTGTCCGTTAAAGCGGTGTGCTAATAAACATAGCATTGAGTATATAATTTGTTTAGCCCGGTAGGTCTGTGTGTTGTTATGTAATAAGGGCGGTCTTAAACAGATATTTCACGATTTTCGAATATTCTAACAAGCTGTGTCAGCGATTTCGTGCGCGTAGAACAGTTATTTTGGACATCAAAATTTGTATTTGCAAACATTCTATCTTTATAAATTTAAGATGTCTCCCACAGCATCCTTTGCGTCTCGTCGATCTTGCAACTTGATCTTAAAAGATAGACGGAGCAACGGAAAGCCACAAAGATAAATAATTTTACCCATTTCACATTTCCTGCTTTTTTACTCTTATTAGTTACAGCGCAATGTTTTTTAGCCTATACAGCCTTCTTCGATAAATGCTCTAACCAACACAAAGGAATTTAAATTCGAACCAGTAGTTCAGTTAGTGCGTTGCAACAAACAAACAAACAAACTCTTCAGCTTTATAATATTAGTATAGACTATAGAGTATAGACGTTGCGTAAGCGATTATATTAACAAATGTAATCAATTTAGTCAGTAGGAGTCTATGTAAGTACCTAAGATGGAATTGTTTGTACATTATTTTATCAGTACTATATTGCATTATACACAGTACCTGTTCAAATTATATTAGTAAGCGTAGGAACGGCAACTGAAAAATATCCGTCGGGCCGTTTTTCAAAATTGATTTACGCTGTAGGTCAAGGCTTTTGCAGTTATTTGCAAAACTAGTATTTATACTGTCTGTAGTTTACGCGAGTAGATTTAAATAAACACTCACGGCTTAAAACGAGATACATAGTAAAAAAGTGTTTCTTTCCGTTTAGAAAAGTAATTTTTCTCATTGCTAGTGCAATTATTCGTTCGTTACTTTTTTTATCGAGTTACATTGCGCCTTAAAGAAGCGCGTATTGCATAAATTAGATTGTAGATAATGAACGCTGATAATATTGAATGAAGGTATTATCTACGAAATTATATATAAACGTACGAACGTAAGATCGTGTAGATTGCTTCCGTTTTGAAGTATCACGGTATCTCTATTAGATTTAATAGGATTTCGCACTTTTATTGAGTGCAATGACCTTAGGAAATAATGGTAATTGCAAATAGATTTGATTTTTTAATTAATAGATGTAATTCCTTGGAATCACTCGGGTCTTTTACTGAATTCGTATTAGTACTAGAATTGCGGTCAGGGGTGGTGGATATTCTAAGTCTAAGATTGCATATACCTAACGTAACGACGATATAGTTTGTCCAACACGTTGCCTAGGATTGTGTTAACCACGAGAGTTACAGAGTTCCTTTATGTTGGGGGCGACGTACAGAGGTCTGAAGAATGTAAATAAAATTTGAAGCGACGAATAAAACTAAAATTAAGTCTGAGGCAACAAAGGAGTAGGCTAATATTTTCCAATTAAAATATGTATATGTTTAATGGAAACCCAAACAGGTTTTTTTAAGTATTTAACAAATATATTTAAATAATAAAAAAAAGGAAATCTGACAAACACTATGAAATCTTATGCAGAGGCCCGAGTGGTTGACCCTGAGGCAGACCTATCCACAGCATCTCGTATTTAAAATATGTTTTAAAGATATTTTTACCTTCTTCAAGTAAACCCCTAGCCTGTCCTGATCTTTCCTATTAAACATTAAATAACAATCTCTAAGTGTGATTTATCATAGATCTTACAACGGCCTTCAAAATCGACACTGAAATTAAGGCCTGCTATTATTATTACACGTCTTAACACGCATGTTTTGATATGTTCGATTTTGCACTTGAACCCCTTAACAATAGCACTAATTCTAACATCTATTTATGTATGTTTTCTATTATTGTTGATCGAAAACCCTAGGTGATATGAATGGAAAAGATCGATATCGATAAGGACAAAAAAGGGTGGTGCTCATTTGATGGGAAGTGAAAAAGCCTCAGCCACATAATACCCTACTAGGATGTGTTGTTGACCCATGGCTTTGGACAATCGGCAATCTACAGACCGAAACTAAAAACGCAAATTTACTCTTCAAAATATTGAAACCCATTGAGATACGGGAAAATCTTTGAAGTGTCAAAGTAAACAATAATATTTAACAATCATTTAACATACAATATGACGCTAACAGTCAACCAAATTGGTAAATTACTAAATTTAAATTACTATTAGCAATTTAAATTCTTTTGAACGTTTGTATTTCTGGAAGTGTCTGTCACCTCTGTACATAGTAAATATGACTAAATGGATCAAGGTATAAGATGAAGCGTTTAGCCACGTCGAGTTAGACTTTAACCTAAGATTAAAGTCGGATTTTTACTTATGCTAATATTTTGGGACCCCAAAATATTACATCGCTTAAATCTATTAACTCGACTAAATTTGGGTTCAAACCCTTTTGCAGTCATTATTTCTTTATTAAGTTGGGGCCATTCATTTATGTAAGACAATTTTCGTAAGTTTTTACTCCTCCCCCCTATTATAAAAAATAATAAGAAAAGGCCGACTCCTTCCTCTTGTTAATTATTTATTACGTGACAATCTAAAGGGGAAAAAATCTAATTTACAATATTTAGAAATGTTTATTTGTACTTACAATGATGATGGTAACTTTATTTTTTGGTAATAACTTTGGTTTTAATCATGCAACTTAAACTCTTAACCTTAGTTAAGATCTTCAGTGGCTGAAAAGTCAATAATAAGAATGTTAACATTGCGCATTTGTGATCTTACGTAAGAACTATCAAAACTCACTCCCACACCCTTGAAAGACAAAATAAGACAGTGCTGACAGTGCTTCCTACCCCCGGAATCGTCTTATATAATAAATGAATGAAATTT